CGCCTATCCCCCATCCACTCCCTGCCCATCCCAAGCCAAGCTTGGTCCCAGGTCCACTGTCTCCCAATCATGCATCTCCTCACACACCTGTACACTCACCTCTATACTCATCCCTTGGTCTTTAATAAAATCCTTCTGTAGAAGCTGGAATTAAATAATACAGGGGGATATTGTTTTGTTTTGTTTTTTAACCAAAGACACTTTCCTCCTTCCTTTCATTTCTCCTCCTTCATGAATTCAAAGTGGCCCGAGCCAGAACACACGCAGTACCTTCTTGCTTGGCTCCAAAATGCTACATCCAAGTCTCTCTTTATGGAAAGAAACTCTGCGACAGCACCAAGGTTCAAAGGGCCTTGGCCCATTCAGAAACTGAGGATGCGCTCAACTGAAAGCACCTTCCCTCCCACATGGCTCTTCACTGAATCATCACTCTTTGTTCAGCATCCTTTGGATGCACACAATTGATTGGCTCTTATATTGTGCCAGGTTTTTGGTTTTTTTTTTTGCTGCTATTTCAGTGAACTGAGACCCCACTTGCAGCCAAACGCAAGGCTCTGAGCTCAGCCTCGGCCCGACGAGGGAAGAATCTCTCTCCACCTAGCAAGAGCTCCAAGGTCTTCTAGAAGAATCTCACACGAGTCCAGGAGGAATCGCTCCATACCCACAGTCTAGGCCTTTGTGAATGTCTTAATGAGGTCCCTGGAGACCACAGGAACAATGAAAGTCTTAGGCTAGAGGGGTGTGGAGGGTGGGAAGGGGATGGAAGGGGAAAACCCACCTAACTTAATATTTTGTACCTTTTACACTAGAGCATTGTTTTATTTTCCAAAAACTCTGTTCCTGGCTGAGTATTGCTTTATTTTTTGAATGCCTCCTTTATTTAATTAAAAAAAAAGAAATTTAAATAAGTGATTTGGCCTACAATGATGATAGTTTTTTTTTAAAACACAGGAATTATTATATAAAACTAAATATTTAGAGATGAAGTGACCCGAAGTTTAGAATTGTGAAAAACAGAAGAATTTGGCTGGGGGCCTTGCAAATCTGTTTCTTCTGGTCCCATAGTGGGGGGGGGCGGGAAAGAAGGGGGACATGGAAACATACACTCTACCCATTTGCTTAATTTAGAAAGGAAAATGAATATGTATATATACATATATGTATAAACACACACACATCCCCAGTGAAACACTGTTTTAGATACAGGAGTCCAAATGACTGGACACAGTGAAAATAAGGCTCTTTCTCATCCACAAGCCTGCACCTAGGGATTCAGGAATTCCACAGGACCCTCTGTACACTGCCCACAGGAACCAAATTCTCTCTGCCTTCTCACCCTCAAGCCACCTGACTCTCAGGCAGAAGCTCCCTGCCATCACTGGCTTCTAGGCAAGGCTTGGATGTGATTCCCACGCTCTTACCTGCATTCCTCATTTGGGAAAGCATAGGCTTGAAGTTTGCATCTATTAAAGTGCTGTCTCACAATACGCGTCTCCTTCAGGCAGTAAGTAACCTCCTTGCATTGCGGAAGGGAAAGGAGAGGTGTTACCACGCGCACCTAGCAGGCCCTCAGCAAAGCTCTGGGGAGAAATTTCCGCCCAGGCGCTCCAGAACGCCCGGGGTACTGACCACTCGCCAGAACTCCAGGAATTTGGTGTGGAACATGGGGGAGACAGGCCAGCACCAAGTCTTCTTTCTGGTCTTAGACGGGGAGGGGAGGAGTGGGGACCTGGGAGAGACAACTGCAGGGGGAAAGGAGAGGAAGTCTTTGTCCTAGCTCTTTGGATGTGCATTAGAGTGCAGTTAAATGGTCGGGCTAATGAGATTTCCTGACCACGTGCTCCCTTTTAAGTCCAGGCCCCCAACTGATTTGATCCCCAGGCAGCAGCAGGGGGCAAAGCTGCCTTCAAGCATCCCTAAGGGCCAGAGAATTCCCAGAACAAGTGCAGGAAGGATCAGAATCATTTCTGCGACTGGGATTTTATTTTATTTTTTTATTAATTTATTTATTTTTGGCTGTGTTGGGTCTTTTGTTTCTGTGCCAGGGCTTTCTCTAGTTGCGGCAAGCGGGGGCCACTCTTCACTGTGGTGCGCGGGCTTCTCACCATCGCGGCCTCTCTTGTTGCGGAGCACAGGCTCCAGGCACGCAGGCTCAGTAGTTGTGGCGCACGGGCTTAGTTGCTCCGAGGCATGTGGGATCTTCCCAGACCAGGGCTCGAACCCGTGTCCCCTGCATTGGCAGGCAGATTCTCAACCACTGCGCCACCAGGAAAGCCCTGCGACTGGGATTTTAAATAAATAGGTTATCACATTTATCCACTGGCATCCAGCAATAATGTTACTGACCCCGTAGCTTGTATGAGGCAGCCTCCACTTGGGGTGACTGAGGTAGGCCCAGGGGAGCAGAGGGTATGGGGAACATTCCCTGTGGGCTTATCTCCCACTGGACAAACTGCAAGTCCCTCACCTACTTCTTGTTTGTTTGCTTGCTTGCTTGTTTTGGTCGGTAAAGGCCCCTGGGATCTACGTTCAATGAGGTGTTATTGACCCAACTCAATTATTTGCTCCAACAGGCAAAAGGGTGTTGTAACGAGAAGCATTTTTTTTCAGTACCTTATTCTGTAGCCAAGCCTGAGATGGTCTTTTTCAAACTATTTATTCATCTGATTATAGGTTATGGAGGGGCTTTTCTTGTTTTCGTTTTTCCTGTCTGAAACTGGCTTCTCTCTTTGCCTGAAGGAAATCAGCAGTGCTGATGGAGCAAAGGAAAAACAAGTCAAAACACACTGACAGCATTTTGAAGATATTCAATGAAATCAATTCTCCTCTTCTACTTTCCCTAGTTAGACAACAGCCTCCTTCTAAGGTATATTTCTCTTCTATTCAAAGATAATTACCTAGGAACTTCGTTGTTTACCACTCCAAGACAACCTCCCTGGCGGAGTTTTACGGTGGGGTACAAAAGAGCATATTCTAGAAACCAGCGATTTACCAAACTTCTGCTACAAGACACAGCTCAAATTTCACTTCTACCAGGAAGTATTCCCTCCCAGCCTCCAGGTATCTCTTTGTTCAAACCTCCCTCCATCCGGGTATTATTCACTTTGCACAGCGGCCATTGGTTCAGCGGCAACCACTTCCCACCTGGACAAGGTTTCCTCCTCCAAACCCAGGCCTGGGTCTCAGCAGAGCCTTAAGGAAGAAGGAAGGAAGAAGAAACTAAAACCTAATGGAAATTCAAATACAAAAGAAAGGCGCTGTAAGCGATTAGATAAGTAGAGTGAAACCTAAGAGCAAGTAAACCAAGCCCTGTTTGAAGCTGAAAACAGCAATCCTTCATGCTTTTTAAAATAAAATAGGAGTTGGGAGAACGGAAAACTGCAGGAAGGGGAAGAGACAAGGGGGCCATCCTCTGCAACAGATTCCCTCTAACAGGGAAACATTGTTCCAGTGTTTCGTACGTAGCAGTCACTGCGCCAGTTGATTTATATTGTCGTTTAACTCCCACTCCCACTCCCACAAATAGGGATACACATTATCCCCACTTTACAGACCCGGAAACTGAGACGCAGGGCGATTAAGTAGCTCGGTCTGGAACAGATCACCCAGCTCGTGAGTGACACTGAGCAGGCACCGGGAGCAGGGTTTTTGACCTCAGCGCCCAGGCTCTCAACCTCTGTTCCAGCTCAAACAAAGTGGACGCCAAGTCAGCACGCGTGGGTAACCCGATCCGCTCTGAGTGAAGAATGCCCCACAGCTGCTCCGCGGGGCTGCGTGGGTACCACTGAAACGGGCACGTATTGGCCAGCGTCCCCAAGGGCTCGCGCGCGTCCTTCAAGACTTGCCAACACGCAGGAAAAGGCAGACTCGGAATCCACCTGGACCGGCTTGGGAACGAGCCCAGAGGATGCCACTGGAAGGGAGGTGAGCGTGGCTTAGTCAGCGCCCCGACGGCCGCCAATGCGAGAGGGCCTCTGGGTGTAGGGAGCCTGGGAATGCAGTGCGCAGCGGGGACTGGGCACGAAGGCGCCGTCTGGGCGTCTATTCCCCGCAGCATCTCGCCAGGAGGCCCGGGGAGGGGGCGTCACCTGACAGCATGCACCAACTTCTCCCAGCTCGGAGGGGGGCTCGCGGCGGCAGCCGGGGGAGCGCAGCGCGCAGCTCTCGCCCAATGGCGAGGTCTGTAAACAAAAGCGGGCCCCACGCGGGTCCCCAGCTGGCCGATGAGCGGAGCGGCGCAGCGCAGCAGCATCCGAGCGGCCGAGCCTGCAAGAGAGCTAGGCGGGACGGCGATCCGGCGCGGGGACCCCACGCACAGCCCCCAGGATCCCGCGCCCGGACGAGTCATTGTCTGCGCTCGCGCAGGAGGCCGCTTTAAATGTCCCCTCCCAGGTCTGCGGCGGGTCCCCGGCCCTGTGTGCCAACCCCCAGGCTCTCCGCCCCGTGAGTCGGGTACCGAGCGTGACACGGATAGCCAAGGTGACCGCCCAGTCAGCGTCGCCGAAAACCCAGGCCTGGAGGTGCCCAAGTCAGGGACGGAGACACACACAGAGAGACACACGCAAGCACACGCACGCCCTCCCCGAAGTTGACAAAAATCAGCCGACAAATACAAAGTGCCGCCGCCGCCGCAGGTCAACGCTGACCTCCTGCTGCCGGGAAGACCGAATGCCAAAGCCTGGACACTGTCACTTCCATTCGGCGCCAGGCACCTCACCTGGGAGCCACTGTCTCGTCTCCCTCCTGACTGCTCCCTCGAGCGAAGGATGTCTCCCCTTGCCTCCCCTCGCCAGCTCCCCACCTCCCAAGTGTGGGATCGCCAAAACAATACGAGTAAATCCCAATCGGGGGGAGCTAGGACCCGCCGGGAGCCCCAATGTGCCGGAGACTGGGGTCAGGACGTGCCCGTCACGGGCAGAGAGGCTCCGGGCGTCCTCACTGCCGTCCCTCGGGGCGGCTCCAGCCGGCCGGCCGGCACTCCCCAGGCTCGCGGTACTCACCCGCGACGTTCGTCCCGGATCTCCGCCAGGGGTACAGGGACAATGCGGGGCCGCGGGGCTCCGGGGGCTGCGGACACAGAGGCGTTCGCGGCGCTGCAGAGCTGCGCGCCCGACGGCGGCGGCGCTGCTCTGCCCGGCCTCGCTTCGGCCCCTTAGCCAGTCTGCCAATGGGAGCTGTCAGGGTGCCTCCGCCAGCCGCCTAGGGGGCGGGTCCGTGGAAGCCCGTGGGAAACCGAGTTCCGATTGGTCCGCCTGACAATCGCTCCGCCTCCGGACAGCCAATCAGAGACGGCGGACACATGAGCGGGGCGTTCGGAGTTGGGCTGGAGAGTGACAACAGGCGCACGCTGGGCACCCGGGCTGCATCCCCGCCCGCGGCACGCGGCCGGAGAGGTTCCCCCGCCACGCACGCCGGGATTGCCTTCCCACTAGGCTCCGGCGGCGCGGCTTGGGGAGAGCAGGGGAAGGCAGCGGAGGCGCGGTGGCTGGGGAACAGCGAAGAAGCCCCTAACAAAGCAGCTCTGGGAGGGCCGAGCGGCCTCCGCCTCCTCCCGCAATAGGTCCGCGAAGCTGCCTGTCACTGTGCATAGGTAGAGGTGGCCAATGACGTAGAGAGAAGGAGCTCGAGTTGGCGCGCGCGCGCGCGCGCGGCTCGGTTTCAGTGGGATTGGTCCGAGGTAAAGGATTTTCCTGCCACCTAAGGCGGAGAGGAAAGAAGAACGGAACGGGGGGAGGGGACGAGCCAAAAAACGTTGTACCTGCGACACGTGGTCTGGCTTGGGAGGCGTGTGCCTGACTCTAGGGGGAGACAGGAACTTTTGGACGAGAAGAAAAAACCCTAAGGTAATCCCTTCCTGTGGATGCTGGGAGGTGTTAGACGCTAACCAAGCTCCAGGTAGGGCACGGTGGCCTTAACCGAATCCTGGGGAGCCCAGGACTCACCGGGTTGACTCATCTTGCCCAGCAAGTACACTTGAAATCACAGGCTCACATTCACCTACTGAGCAGTATGCGACTCGGGCTAAATTCACACAGACCTGCCTCCTGGTCTCTTCTGTAAAATCCGGAAACGATGTTTGCCATTTACCTTTGGCGAGATTGTGAGGAAGAGGAAACCCGGACTCCGGCAGTAGAGACGCTAACGAAATCTCTTCCCCACACCCATCAGTGCTTCCTCCTCGCCTTAAGAGCTCTGGACACCACCATTAAGAACAAAGGCTGGGGTGAATATTGACCACAACCTGATTCAGTGGGCCCAGTCGCCGTGAGGGAGGGGGGAGGCCTGTGCCCCTGGGGTTATCTGGCTGAAAACAAAAAGAATCCGCAAAAAGAAATGCCTGTGTCCTAGAGCATAAAACTCAACTGGAACACTGGAAGTCATCCTTGACCTCTCTTCCCTCGTCCTTCTCCCATCTCTTCTAGCCTCCTCCTAAATCCACGCCCTCTTCCCCAATGCTTTCTCCCCCAACCGCATCAAAGGTCTCCCATCTCTTTCCACCCCGGGCCTTGCCTCCTGAAATCTACTCTCCACACTTTCCACTTTGCAAAATCATCCTTCTAAACAGAAAAATCTCATTGTGCTGTCTCCCTTCTGGGTCTCCTCCTTTTGCCCAGAGCCCACCCCACTCCCCACCCCACCCTCATACTTTCCCTTCACTTGACTAATTCCCACCCATTCTCCAGATCCTAGCTTAACAGCCAGTGCATCCATGCAGCAGACTTTTGCTGAACTCCAACTGCAGCATACAGTCTTGTAGATACTGGAAACCTGCCGAATCCAGTTAAGGTCAGGCACCCATATCTCCTACCCCCAGTCCTCCCACCAACCCCTGTATTAAAGGAGGCTGAAACTGCCAGTTAATTATGGTCTCCTCCACCAGCACAGCACTTCACTGGATCCAGATTCTTAGCTATCTTGCTCTCTGCTGTATCCCAGTGCCTAGCACCGTACCTGGCACATTTGGGGCTCTCAAAAATACTTAATCAATGAATTATAGAGGCGCAAAAAAAAGAAGCAAGAGCTTTAAAGATCCGAAATGTTTCTAAAACATCAGTTTGAGAAGAATGGTTAGGATAGCAGATCTCAGAGTGATATGTCCCCAGGTCCCATAATGGGTATTGCAAGAATGTTGAGTGAAGTTTGAGAGATTTTCCAAAAGACACACTTTCAAAGAAAGACCTAATCTCAGCCAAGACCTTGCCCAAACTTCTCAATGGAGAGTCATTCCTTTGTGAAGCTTTTCATCCCAGGAGAAAGAGCAGTTTCTTAACCTATTACAAGCCACCATCTTGGAAGGGGAATATATATATGAGAAACACACACACACACACACACACACACGCCAACACCAAGACTATTGCATGTCAGAGAAAGCAATCTTTGTTTTATTATGCCTCTGATACTTGGGTTTCTGGTACAGCAGCTGAAATTATAATTAAATAATATAATGAGTATCTGTCACTTGTAACTCCCCTCCCCCCCAAAATTATTTCTTCTCTGCCTCACTGAGGTCTACTGCCATCATGGCCCTCCTGTTAAGGAGGTAACATGGTTGCAAGACAGCTTCAGATGAGTCCTCAGAGTGGCCATCTGATTGCCTTGGGCATAGCTCTTTCTGCTCCTAAGAAATCGGAAAAGCGGTGGAGAGGAAAAACCCTGGAGTTACACTGGCTGGTTTGAATCCAAGCTCCACCGCTTTCCAGCTCCAGAGCCTTGTGCAAGTTATTTAATCTTTTGTAAGCCTCGCTTTTTCATTCTGCAAAACAGGAGTAATACCACCTAATCCACAAGGATGTTGAAGGGATTAAAAAGAAGTCGCACAGCACATAGTATGCACTCATATAAGTTAGCTATTGGGCTTAGCTAAGTTAACTAAACTCTCTGACCCACAGTTTCCTAATTTTTTAAATTGGATAATAACATTTCATTAAGTGGTTGAAAACCATGAAGGAGACAGTAGAAGAGAAATGCTTAGCCCTGCCCATAAAGGGGAGATGGATACATAGGAAACCACCATTTGGGGCTTTTCGTCAATCGTTCTCTCCCTCAGCCCCACCTGTATCAACACGTTAGGACTTTGCCTCTCAGAATCTGCTCAGGGCTGACTATGGGAGGGTTTGTTCCCACAATAATGGTGTCACCACTGAAGTTAATGAAATTAGGCTGACCTAGCCTTTGGGTACATTTCTTGCCCTTGAAATCAAAAAAGCTATTACAGGTATCTGTACTGTTTCTTGTCTCTGCTCAGCACAGAAAGCTGCTGCTTCACACCGTGGCGAAGAGAATGGGGGGTGTTTTGATTAAAACACAGACAAGTGCCATCTGGCGTCCCATCTCCTGAGGGCACCGTTGACATCTCAAAAGAACACAGCATTGGCAATAAAAAATTTTTAAAAAGTGGAGTTTTAAGGGTAGAATTAAGGGTTTAGGATAAAAGAACCCACAGAAGTTATATTTCTAGTTCATGACCCTAATTTCAACTACAAGTCAACATTTTCTTCCCCATCACTTACTGAAAGCCTCACTAAATACGGTCATAGCTAAGTCACAGAAAATGGCCTTTCTCACTATCTCGCCGTATCTAAACCACAGAGATAAGCCCACACCCTCCTCTCTAGGCAGCCCTGCAGCAGCCTCTGTTTCTACCTCCACCTTCCATTCGAACTGATGCTCCCAGAGGGCGGGGCTGTGGTCTCTTTCATTTCCTGCTGTAATCCTGCTGTGGTGTCTAGAACTGAGCCTGGCACAAAGTAATTGCTCAGTAAATATTTACAGAATGAATGAATTAGCCTCCTGTGTTTCCTAAAACGAGGACTTTGGCACTTATTTTCTTTTCTGTCATTTATTTGTGGATGACCTCTTTTTAAAAGGACATGAGGCAGCTTATTAAAAAGACACATATCTCACGACTTCCCTGGCAGTCCTGTGGTTAAGACTCTGTGCTTCCACTGCAGGGGGCACGGGTTTGATCCCTGGTTGGGGAACTAGGATCCTGCATGCCGTGTGGCGTGACAAAAATAAAAATAAAAAAATATATATATTTGTCACAAAAGCACTTACTGGTTGTGTTATCATTTACTTGGGAACCCACCAAGAGAGAGGTGAGTGGTTTTCCAAAGCAGCTGTTGTGAGTTTGCTCTGACTCATCCTCAATCTCTTGCCAAGAACCCCCTTCACCTGACAGATTGCCTCAAAGATTAGTAGACAGTTTGAGTTAAAATCTAGAACAAGAAAGTTCTAGTTAGTCATATTTTACTAGCAGGGACCTCTGTTTTATATCTTCCTGAGCATTTCTCTAACCAATCAGCCAGGTCACGCATGAATACCAAGGCCCTGACAATAGGTTCAGAGAAAGTGGAATCTCTGCCTCCTGGTAAGCCATTCTTGGGATGGTTTCCTTTTGAGAATCATTCCTCTAGAGCTATGAGAAACAGCTGGAAGATGACTTTAAAACCTAACCTAGGGACTTCCCTGATAGCGTAGTGGTTAAGAATCCACCTGCCAATGCAGGGAACATGAGTTCGAGCCCTGGTCTGGGAAGATCCCACATGCCACGGAGCAACTAAGCCTGTGTGCCACAACTACTGAGCCCGCATGCCACAACTACTGAAGCCCGAGTGCCTAGAGCCCGTGCTCTGCAACAAGAGAAGCCACCACAATGAGAAGCCCGTGCACTGCAATGAAGAGTAGCACCCTCTCGCCACAACTAAAGAATGCCCACACGCAGCAACAAAGACCCAACACAGCCAAAAATAAATTAATTAAATAAATTTATTGAAAATAAAAGGGGAGGGGAGGAAAGAAGGAAGGGAGGGAGGGAAGGAAGAAAACTTAAAGGGGCACAAATTGGGACTTCCCTGGCAGTCCAGTGGTTAAGACTCCACGCTTCCAGTGCAGGGGGCATGTGTTTGATCCCTGATCAGGGAATTAAGATCCCACATGCCAGACAGAGTGGCCAAAAAATAAAAATAAATAAATAAATAATTTTAAAATACACATTGACTACAAAAAACAATAACACACACACACACAGAAAAAGAGGCACAAATCAATAGGCCAGCGTTTCCATCTGGCCCCTAAGCTGACTCTCCCTCCGCTCCTTCCACCATATTGTTTCCTCCCTCCTTCCCCAATACCCAGGACCAGCTTCACGGGCATATGACCCGTGCACTCCCACAGGGTCCTGCACTCAGAAGGGCCCCATACTTGGTTTATTGCTCTGTCAATGCTGCCTTTAAAAATCCTAAATTTTTTTTTTTTTTTTTTTTTTTTGCTGCATTGGGTCTTCGTTGCTGCACACAGGCTTTCTCTAGTTACGGCAAGCGGGGGCTACTCTTCCTTGCGGTGCACAGGCTTCTCATTGCGGTGGATTCTCTTGTTGCTCTAGGCATGTGGGCTTCAGCTGCTGTGGCACGAAGACTCAGTTGTTACGGCACACAGGCTTCAGTAGTTGTGGCACGTGGGCTTCAGTAGTTGTGGCTCGCGGGCTCCAGAGCACAGTCTCAGTAGTTGTGGCGCACGGGTCTAGTTGCTCCGTGGCATGTGGGATCTTCCCGGACCAGGGTTCGAACCCGTGTTCCCTGCACTGGCAAGCAAAAAATCCTAATTTTTGAACCACAAGCCTGCAATTTCCCTTTTGCTCTGGGCCCTACAAATTAAGTAGCCTGTCCCTTCTACACCC